GGGGGGGGGGGAAGGAGGAAAAAGGAGGGCGAGCGGCGGGAGTGAGCTTTGGGGGGTGGGGTGGGGGGAATCGGAGGCAAGAGCAGCGGGCGAGGGCGCCGAAGGAGGAGGAGACGAAAACCCGGCTCGCCCGCGCTGACTGAACAGAGCACCGCTGTCCCTCAAAGATGTCATCTCAAGCAAAGTTCAAGAAAGACAAAGAGATTATCGCGGAATATGAAACTCAAGTGAAAGGTGAGTCTGGCTTCCCTCTTCCCCTCCTCCCAAGCTTTCTCCCCCTTTCCTCCTCCTGTTCCTCAGGTCCCTCATTGTTTGGTCTGTGTCTTAGTCCGCCTCGCTTGTCACAGTCGGAAGGCTCCGGGCTGGGTGGCGGGGAGGGGGCTGGGGGGGGGGGGGGGGGGCGCTCGGGTCGTGAGCTCTTCTCGACGGCCAGGGCTCTCGCTCGCCTTCTCGATGCCTGGTTTGGAAAAAGAAACCCGGTGCCGTCCTTTTTGATGGAAGCCCCGTTTCAGGGCAGGCGTGGGGAGAGGTGGAGGAGTGGGGCGCAGCCATCTGTGGTGCGTATACCATAGATAAAAACGCCTGGAGGCTCGCTTTGCATCGAGCCTCTGCCGGAGACGTAGGCGTGAGGCTCGGATCTCCTCTTATGGAGGCTTCTTGCCGAAAAAGCGGTGGCTTTGATGCCACCTGAACTGGTTGAAAGCCCGAGTGCCGAAGAGACTGGGAACTGGCAGTATTTGAAGGTTTCCTTCTTAAAATCTGTGGCCTTTCCCTCCCCGATTTGTAATCTTTGCTATAGCTCGTAAAAGTCACACAACACTGGGTCTTGGAAGTGCTCCTGTATGAGGGTTTGAAGGGAGTGTTCTCTGCTACAGGGCATAAAGAGAAGATGTATGTTGGGTCTATCGGGCTGCTGATTCTGATTTCAGTACCCACAATACCTTCTTGGACGAGAGCTTGGCTTAAATAGGTTGGCTGTATCCTATTATAAGCCACATTTTTTCCTTTCCCTGTTATGCAACACTCTTGACACAAAACCCACAAGATACGCTGCTTTCTTGGTTTGGCTTGGCTCTTTTTGGTTTTTGTTTTAAGATAACATTTACAAGAGAAATACTTTTTTCAGTATTCACTCCCTCTCCATAGTTGAGACCCATTAGTAGCTTAAATGTAAGCATGGTGCTGAATCTACACCTTGCCCTTGAGTGTTGGCTGTAGAACTAGTGCAGTACAAGTGCTGCTTTCCTAATTCACAGATTTTTGCTGGAGTAATTTTGAAAGAACTGAGGGGGGTTTAGTTTTGCATGCACAATTATGAGGCTGTTTGGAATGGGCAGTGCTTATGCAAAAGAGATTTCCAGATGGAGATGGGAATGAGTTAGTTTGCAAAGTGAGCTCACAACACTATTTCAGAGTCCTGTGGTTGATGCTTAATGTAAGAATATTACTTAGTGTGGTAAATTATAGCTTGCAAAACTGGGTGCATCCTTTCATCTGAGCAATTCAGAATATTTTCACAAACATTCAGGATTGAGGCCTTGATGTACACGTAAGGGTCCTGATAAAGTCTACAGTGCAAAGCTACTGGTTTATAGTTCACCACTCACTGGGCAAACTTGGGATGGTACATGAACCTTATACATGCCACATCTCAAGATCTAAGTCACTCCTGAACTTCATCTCTTTTGAAGAAATGCTTATCTTTGTACTAGAGCAGTGATGGCTAACCTTTCCGTTGTCATGTGCTGAAAGTTGCATGTGTGCACACGCGCATGCCTGCACCCATAATGCAATGTGCACACAACCCTCCCGTGCCCCTGCGCATGCACCTGTGACCTTCCCATGCCTCTGTGCATGCACACGTGACCCCCTGCACATGCCCTGTGCCTCTGCGCATGCACGTGCATCTCCTGCATGTGCCCTGCCCCCCACACATGGGGGCAGATACCTGACAATCGGCTGGCTGGTGGGAGGAGCTTGCACATGTGCAGTGGACCTGATCTGGGGTGATAAGCTCGCATGCCAGCAGAAATGGCTTTGCGTGCCACTTCCGGCATGCATGCCATAGGTTTGCCATCACAGTATTAGAGTGTCTTTCCCCAAGCTGGGATGTTCTGGGTGATAATTCATTATTGAAATATTCAGCCACATGGATAGGGAATTTTTGGAATTAGAATCCCAATTCTACTGGTTACAAGCTAGGTTTTGATATAGATTTCTGACTGTCTAATGAATGTAGTTCTACATTAATTCCCTGAAACACCAGAAGATAATTCTGGATCTACTGGTTGTGCTTCTTGATTTCTGCAGAGGTGAGGTATGACAGATTATATTTTCAAAAGCTTAACCTCATATTATCATCCATAATTGTTCTCAGATATTCTGTAGTTGTTCCTTCAGGAAACTTTTTAATCTGCTCTCAATGTCAAAACAGGTCTTAGTGGTTGCTTTATAGCAGTTACTTAGTGGCTTGCAGTATCCTTTCCACAAATGTGTTTATATATTCCTCTCCTCTGTGGTCTATTTTACTTGTAGTTGTATATTTAATTCTGAGAAGAGAGACATATCCAATTTATAGCGTACTAGCAGAACACAGCCTGCAATTCCACCTGACATTATTCAATCATTGAACTAAAACTCTAGAATTTAGGCTCAGTTGGTATCAGTATTAAGTCTTCCTGAACATAGTTTAGGTGCTTTTAATGAATCAGGTTATAACTTGGATTAGTAAAGTAAGTGTCAGATTGGGGGAAAGGACTGCTGGCTTCTATTTTTGTGTTCCGCATTTTTAATGACTGGATAACATAAGCACATTGTTCTGCATCATATACCATCTGATTGTGCATAATTTGGATAACTTTTATATCACAGTGCTTTACAATTGAATAACCTAATGGCATACTCTTTCTTTATTGATATTTGTCAAAGAGGAAAGAGTTGCAAAAAGTACTTTTTTTTCTTGCAGTAAGTAATAATCCTAAAATGTTTTTTAGCAGGACAATGTGGGTATGAATGTACCCTTATTTTTGAGCAACTTTAGTAGACATGTTCATTTTTCTTTGTTGTTGTTGTTGTTGTTACTGAAGTTGATAGTTGTTCATGTTGTGTAAAATGTGAACTGAATTTAAAAAGAAAAATATTTAAATTGGAATTATTGAGACAATTGACCCAAAATTATATTATGAAAGACAGTTATGCTTCTTTCACAAATTGATTCATCCTTTTCTTGTTTGTGATCTATAGTAGTGATATCTTGTTGGAAGAGCAGATAAAAACAAGGTGGGATTTATACAGTGGCTGTAAATCATGGTTTATAAGCCATAATAGTTGGTTTCACAAGCTGCATTTAATCAAAGTCAAACAAACCATGATTTTTAGAAGAGTAACCAATAGATGTTGAGTAACCAAAGATGTTATAGATGTTGTTGAATATATATATATCAAGAACTTATTTTAACAGATATTAGTTATGTTTATTGTGGATTGTTTTTTTTTTTACTGTTTATTGATGCATTATAGAATTGGTAGTATACAATAATTATAAGTAAATTATGGGTTAGCCCAATTGTGAAAACTCATTAAAAATATGAAGATCTTAAATTATGCAACATGCTGTGGGGCAGTTAAGATACATGATTCATATCTTCAATATAACATCTAGACTGTTGTGTATGTGTAAATATCTGCAATGTATCATTCATTCATACTGACCATTCAGCATGTAACTTCTCTCCATTTGTTCTGCAGACAACAGATAGACAGCAGCTGTTGGTTCATTGTATTTATGTTGCTTTCTCAGTTGACAAGAAAGAATGAGAAAAATTGGCTTGTAGCTATCCTTGGCTGTCTCCAGATAAGGGTCTTAATCTGCATTATGCACTTATCATTTCAGAACTGCAATAGTGTTTTCACACAATAGCTTGGCTCTTATGTAGTTCTAAGCCAAGCTAAACAAACAGCATTAGAGAAATGTGTGAACTCCACTTTGAGTTTCTGTTCACCATTTTATTGCAAAGAAACCAGTTTTATGCCCAAGAAATGTTATGTGTAAAGAGTAAAGATTAAATACTAGTCAGGACTTCCAACTGCTTGACCTGCCCATAGTTTTTCAAATTATACCTGGTTATTTATTTTTGACCAGCTTAATAATTTCAGTTCTGTGGTAGACTATACAGTTTTATTAAAACTGTAAAAACGAAGTTCATTAGTTCACAGTTGACTTAGCCTTTCATCCTTCTGAGGTTAGTAAAATGAGGACCCAGATTGTTGGAAGCAATATTGCTGACTCTCTAAACCTCTTAGAGAGGACTGTAAAGCACTGTGAACTGGTATATAAGTCTAAGTGCTATTACTATTTACAACAGGGAAGAGAACTGTAAAAGCATATAAAAGCCCTTAACCCAATAATACACTAGATTATCAAGATACATCATGATGTCCTAGGGATACAGAATAACAAGGTTGGAAGATAGCTTGGAGGTCTTCTACTCCAAAGCCCTGCTTAAACAGGAGACCTATACCATTTCAGACAAATTATGGCCAATAGATGAACTTGATGCATATGAAAATCAACACCAGCTAAAGCAGGGGTCCCCAACCTTTGCTTGCCGGCCACTTACACGAACTCATCTCCTCCCCTCACCGCCCCCGGTCTACAAAGCCAGAAGCCTTTGGGAACTCTGAGCCTAAGAATGGGCAGCTGGGACTTTGCATTGCTGTGAAAGATAATAATTACTCACTCATCTTATTTATATAGCCACCCACCCATCCTATGATCAAATGACTCTATAATAATATCAATTATAATAATGGCAGAGAGCACTCTGTAATTAAGACAAGGCTTAGTTCATGCTTAATATAAAAACAAATATTTGTGATGGAATGTGTGGATGACCTTGGGGGACAAGGGAAAGAGATGCTGCTTAGGAAACAATCAGGCAAGTTGGGCAGGAGCCCCTCCTCCCCACGGCTTGTCAGAGAAAAAAACTTAGGAAGGACCCACACTTGGAGGTTATAGGAAGGGTACAACCTTGCCACACAGTAGATTAAATTAGATGATCAAATGCTTCCCTGTGACTTTGAGATAGTAAAAAAGTTAATTAGCTTTCAGTTCTCAAAAGCTCATAATTTTTTTTCTTTAAAAGGTGAAATTAAATATCAGGAGTGGGAACAATTAAAGCAATAGTCACATAATGTTTCTAGCCTGTGGAGTTACAGATCTTTGCCCCCAAATT